CAAAGTTAATATCCCAATTAGAGGGTAAAGTTTGAATTTAAGACAGTGAAAATTTTATAACTGATCTCATCAAATGGGCTGATGGGAAATACACTGGAATTATGATCCATCATTCCCATTTGCTTCTTTTTGAAGACAGGGTTTTACTTTGAGGTTCTCAAAGTGCCTAGGCCCTAGGAACACGGGGTGGTGCCCGTCAATGCTGCCATCGATGAGGTAGCAGCTGTGGTGGTAATCAGCTGAGTCTCTACACACAATTGTGCTGAATGAAAGCAGTGACTTTGCCACACGGCTGCAGTAGAAAAAAGATAGCTAAGTAGCAGAGGCTGACCCTCATAGTATCCTTGGACAGCTGGCTGGCACTTGGGAGGGAGCAGCATTTGCCTCCAAGTTTTCTGTATGCAAACCCAGGCCATCCTAGATAAGAAAGTACCGATGACATTGACATGTAGCGCCAGAGAAACAAGACAGCTGAGAGAGCTAGGACTCCACTCTGTAGGCCTTACACAGTTGCACTTTCTCAGGTCATGATTTCCAAACAGTACTCAGTAAACTCCTAAGCAGCAGACCTGTGGAAACAGAAGGCCTTATGCTAGCAAAACAGAATGCCATGAGCAATCTTTACTTCCCTGGATGCTGATCCCATTCTGGAGACTTTCTGCATGTTGAGGGCATCTATGACAAGGTACTAAAATCCACTCAGCTTAGAGTTCTGACCTTTCCAGTTATAACAAAAGATAACCTGCTTTGCCTGAGCTCCTAAGGTCTAGCATACAAAGGTGAGGGAGAGGGATGCAACACAGTCTGGTCTCAAACTATCATCCTGCCTCATGCAGAATGAACCCCTGTGGGAACAAAAATGGCCATCTCAGGATTAGTTGTAGAAACCTGATACTGGAATTGTTCAGGGTAGAACGAGGAGACTGAAATCAGAAGGTAAGCATTAGCTACACAGAACAGAGGCCATGCCTGTAGGGCAGTATTCAGGGGCACAACGAGACAAGGGCGTCAGAAAATCTCTTCCTTGTTTCTGTGTGTCCATCGTTACTCTCTGAATGTGGATGGTATTCTTTAGTGGTATACATATAGCTTTTCTGTCTAGATGGTGAAGGCTAAGGCCACCGCCGTGTGAACAACCATGGGTTCTATTCCCTGAATGATGCTGGCTCCAACCCTGCCCCCTCAGACCTCTTTTGCTTTTCTGCAACTCAAGTTCTCAGTGTGTCATTCTGCAGTTCTGAACAGCAAGCTCATCACCAGAAGTCACTATTTTCATTAAGATACTTATTGTTCCTACACCCACCTAACTCATGCATTTGTATCTGCACTGTGTGACCTGGACCAAGAAGGTGACACCGAACAGAGTTTTTTGAAGAATGCTTAAGGGAGCACTCATCCTAATAACCACTTGGAGGCATGTTTCAGGGAATGTTTAAACTAGTTTCTTCACTTGTAAGATCTTCAAGAACTTCTAATAGCTCACTGAGGCTAAGAGGAGCATATTATAGCTTCCAAATGTATTCATGCACAGAGGCCTGTTTGTTTCTTATCTCTCTTAGCCCCAGCTAGCCTGGAACTTGCTACGTAGATCAAGCTGGCCTTGATCTCACAGAGATCCACCTGCCCCTGTCTCCTGGGTGCTGGGATTAAAAGTGTGTGCTACCATGCCCAGCAAATGCACAGATTTTTTTTAACGTGCTGTAGCACAGGGAATACTCTAGTAGATGCAACTACATTTGAAAGTTGGCAGATGGGCGCGCTGAGCAAAGCTGTCTCTGTGAGAGACACAGGATAGGGGAGTCACCCCTCTAGGAGCAGTCAAAGGAATATCACACTGATCAAAATGGCCTGCACATGTGTTTAAGTCCAGCCATGAATTTGGAAATACACACATGATATGCCATGCTGTCATCTCTGAGGATGTGTAATCTATCACTTGAGATAATTTCTATAAATACTTAACCCCCTATAATCCATAGTTTTCCATTTCACTAAAAATCATGAGGAGAGACTTGAGGTCATCACTTGGGAAGGCAACAGTATCTCAGACAGGCTGGGGGTTCAGAGACCACAGGATCTTAGACAGGCTGGGGGTTCAGAGACAACAGGATCTTAGACAGGTTGGGGGTTCAGAGATCTCTTTTTTAAACATTGCAAAGATTTAAAATTTTTTTCAATGTATATTTTTATTGAATTTTTGTGCGTTTCATATAATACAGCCTAATAATATTTAGACTCTTTCTCCTATTTGTTCCCCCAATGCATTACAGAGCTCATGCATTCTGCCATATATTTTAAGGCATATGGAGTCAAGTTTGTGTACCTAGATGTCCCTTGGTTCATCCACTGGAATCTGTTCAGCCTATGTAGCATCACTCCCTTAAAGATCAACCCTCGCTCACCCAGCAGTGACCAGCTGCCAACAGTTCCTCAGCTGCGGTTGTGGCCTCCTGCTCATTTTCCCAGATCTATGCTGGTTTTCATCTAATTGAGCTGCATGGGTCTTTTGCATGCTGTCACCATTGCTGTCAGTTCATATGAACAAGGTCTCAAAAGCCTGGAAGACTTTGTTTTTTATGGTCATGCATTTTTGTCTTCATTTGACTGGCAAGCTAGACCAAAACTTAATTGAGGAAGGTGATATACCATAGACATCATGGTGCCTCCAAAAACCATGGTGCCTCCATTCCCTAAACTAACAGGAGCATCCCTGATAATAGATACGGCTTGATAGCTAAATAGCTATGCAACCTGTCCTGCACATACCGAGCTGGGTGCTTCACAGATTTCCAATACCCACTTCTAGCAGTGGGTTATGTGCCCTGTACTGTTCATAAGAAGAGTGTAAGACTTGGCATTGTTATATGGACTCTAGAATGCTGAACAACTAGCTGTTGGTGGGATTCCCCTGCAGAGCTTCCTGGTTCTAAAACGCTCCTGTCCCTGAGACTATTTTCAAATTCAGTGGACTGTGGAGATAAGAGTTCTGTTTGGATAAAAAACATATCAGATTCCAAAGCCTCAATGATAATCTTGGCTATGGCCACAGGCAACATTCTCTCATGTCTGAGTAGCAATCAGCATAGATTTGACAGCAAGGGTCAACAGCAGCAAAGCCAGTTGTGAGTCAGGTGCAGCAGATCTGGAGCCCAGACTAAGACTGGTTCTGGATGCACAGCTCAAAGAGGTGTATGCCCCCTGAACCAAGAAAAGCATACCCAGAGACTACAGCAGAGATATTTGTTTTCATGATAAAGGTCAAAGTTGGCCTTGGATCTTTCCTTAAAATTGAAGCATTATCTTTTAAGATTATTAAAGAACACATATAATAACATAACATTATTGGGAGGTATTTAGAATAAGATATTAGGTAAACATAATTCAAAATAAAATATGGTTCGCAATGTAATTCTATTAACCCAATGACACTCTGGGCACTCATACAGACATGGTAGAAGATGTGAAAACACAAAAGTGTTAATTCACTGCGGTGACTGACTCAGAGGCTTCTTTTTCTAAAAGCATTTGTTTTACTATTAACATTTCCCCAAACTAGTTTTCCTGACTACTCTTAAAGTTATCTAAAAAGTTTATAAAATGATAAGCTGAAGGGAATTAACATAGCTTTCTATGTGAGAATATTAAAAGGTAACCATGACTACGGTATTGGGTCAGAGATGGAGAAATAAATGAGCCAGTGGTGTGCAAAGAATGTGCAGGATGACGCACACATGGAAAGGAAGGCAGGCCTGAGGGGAAGGAGGAGCCCAGTGAAGAAACAGATATCAAGCCCGAAAAGAAACCCAGTTGAGGAGAGCCCTGAAGTGAGAAAGCAAGAGGAATTCAGATTCTTTAGCCCTTGGGGTAATAGGAAGAACCCCTTAAACATGCAGAGATTACAGACAATGGGAAGACAAGGATACATTCAATGATATAGCATTAGAAAGCAACTGCTGTGCAATTCAAAACTAAAAGGTTAAATTCAGAAGGTCTCTATGATCAAATAACTGACAAAGAAGAAATTACTAATTTTAAAAGATGGTATACAGTTTTCAAAACAATAAAGCATACAAAAAGACAATCATAAAAAGCAATCTCAAACTGTTACTAAATGCAGATAAAATATTCATCTTTCCTATTCATCGGATTGCAAACTAAAGCCACTTGACACACTGTCTGACACATATGGGGATATTTAAGATGCCCCCCAATCACAAACTCTAGTGCAGATGTGGAATACAGGGGCCAGAGGCCCTTAGAGGGCCTATTTCAGAGGTCGTCTGGTGATATTCCACATAGCTGAAGAGGAATCTTTCTGATGATATAGTTTCTCTTCTGGAAAATTATATTAAACAGAAATATACATGCAATTTTCTTATTTCCAGTCCTGAAACCTGGAACAACCTGAGTTCATTAATATAAAAATGGATACATAGGGGCTGGAGAGATGGCTCAGCAGTTAAGAGCAGTGACTGCTCTTACGGAGGACCCGGGTTTGATTCCCAGCATCTACATGGTGGCTAACAACCATCCATAACTATAGTTCCAGGGAATCTGATGCCCTCTTCTGACCTCCGTGGCACTACACGACACAGGTGCACCTACTACATGCAGGCAATACGCTCATATACGCAAAATAAAAATACAATAAAATACTTAAAAATTGATAAATAAACAAATGGACAATATATGCAGCATCATGGGCAGCTTTTAAAAAACAGTGTTGAGTAGAAAAGTATAACATGAACCTTTGGGATGATGTGCCAGAGCAAACGAAGCATTCTAATATATTGCTTACAAGCACCTTCATGTCACTTACTGTATGAGCACAGGACTGCAGGTAACAAACTGACAAATCACGGTAGGGAGACGTCTGTGGAAGGCACCTGGTAAATAAGTATTAATGACCTTTACCCGGGTCACGCTGAGGAAGATCTCTGTTCTTGAAAACTGGGAGGTGGGCATAAGTGACTTCCTTTCCCATTTATCCCATGACTCACCTCAGATGTGAGTTACCAGAGCCAATTTTCCCCCACGATGGGCTCTTTTGGGAACCCAGCTCTGGAGTTCCAGCTAGGTCCTGGTCACTGCAGTCCTCCTGGTCTGTGGACCATTTATCCTTAGATCTCATGCTGTCTTGTTGTGAGTCAAGAGAGACGACATCTGAGGGAGAGCTCATCACCCCTGAGTCCTCCGTCGTATCTTCTGATGCAAAACAGCTGCCCACAGATGCCGTCTCCTCGGCCTCTGGTGGCATTTGTGGGGCTCCATCCATGCTGCAGTGGCTGCTAGGCCCCAGGGGCAGGCTCACTGGAGAGGACACACAAAGACAGGTCAGCACAAGCCACTCTGGGTGCCATGCTGCCCAACAAGGGCAACAGTCCTTTGACTCTTCCGAAATGTGGGATTCAGGAGCTCTGAGTAGGGAAGACCCCCTGCCCAACATAACAGCATTCACTGGAAACATTTTAACGCTGAAGGAGACTTATGTATATGTGTAACCGATGAAAATTTTCCCCCCCAAAACTGGGCACTTGATCAATTAGTCTTTTATTTACCTTTGTGGTGCTGGGAATATAACCCAGGGTCTTGAACATGCTAGGCAAGTGCTCCACCAGTGAGCCCCTTAATTAACCCTTTAAACATGTATCCTCTAGGTGACTGAAGGCAAACCCCAATATTCAAACCAGTGATAATGAATGCAACTGTTTGTAGCCTGACCTCAGGCTTAACTAAAGTTTCTTTAAAATTACTTCTTAAGAAAAAATAATTAAGAACAGAAATAAATGACTGGTGTGGAACTCCTGTCCAGTGTTTGTTGTTTAAAGTGCTGATGGCATTCGTTCTCAACACTTGGCTCTGTCTTAATTTTTATGTAGAAGACAGCAAGGTTTTATGTAAATAGAAGATGATCTTGGAGGAGAAGATGAAATTAAAAAGCATCAGAACCCAAGTACCTATGACAGAGGTCTTCACTCTAGAACACTAAGTATAAGATTTGCCACAGCAGACACGGTGTGACTTGGTGCTGACATTAAAGATCATCTCTTATTGAGATCCAATGGGGAACACTAGCCATTCTGCATTGAGAGAGATGTTAAATATAAGTAGTGTGAGGCCCCCGTTTTTCTTCTTGAGTGTCAGGAAGCTTAGTGCACAGCACTGGAGTTTTCAGGACAGTAATTCACTTCTCTAGACTAGTTATGCACCAGAGTTGCATTTGATTGATATAGAAATAGATTCTAGACCTCAGGAGACCTCAAGGGTAGTCTAGGATGAATACTGAGTTCCAAAGTCATTTTTTTCCTATAAATGGTCCCTGAACTTGTGATGTGAATGTAGGCCCTAGATGTGTGGAAGGGCATACTCAAATGGTATTATTATGCCTTGATTGTAAGCACATTCTACATCAGAAACATTTTCCTGGACAGCAACTAACAGCATGCAATTAATAAAACAAAAGAAAATCTCTTTGTGTGTTAGTTAACGTGAGATCTGAAACAATGAAAGAAACATAGAAAACAAACATTTAAAAGAATACAAATTCCACAAAAGAGCTCAAAGGAAAGAACAAAACGAGAGCAAGGAGGGTTTAGAAAGACACAAATGCAGAAGGCAATGCATTGAATGCAGAGTTCTGGTGAACAGAAGCTGTTCTTCTGCTTTCTTCCTACACCGGGCTGGAACTCAACACCCTCCGGCCTCAGCCTACCCAGTGCTAGGATTATAGGTGTGTACCACCATGCTCAGCTGCAGAACTCGTAACAGATGGCAAGCTGAAAAATAATCTGCACATGTGTGTCTACTTTACAGGCTCTAGTATTACCTAGGAGATAAACCTCTAGGCACGTCTATGAAGGAGCTTCTAGATAGATTGCGCTGAGGTGGGAAGATATACCTTTAAAGGCCCATCACTCCATGGGCAGGGGTGCTGGACTGGATTAAAAAGGAAAAAAGTAAGCTGAGCACCACTATGCATGGCTGCTGATGCAAAGTGACAAACTCTTCATGGGCCTGCTGCCACACCTTCCCCACCATGACCAGCTGTACCCTCAGCCTGTGAGCCCAAATAAACCCTTCCTCCCATAAGCTGTTTTCACCAGGTATTTTGTCACAGCAATGGAAAAACTAATGCACATGGAACCATATAGCCTGAAACTCTTCCACAGTCCTTAAATCAGCATTGACATCATTCATCAATCCCCATTCAGAACCGAAACCCTAGGGTGAGTTGTTTGTCTGCTGCCATTCATTCTTCCCGTGCTTTGACCTTTTACTTTTCCATGTGGGTTACGGAGACTGCACTGAGGGCTTCAAGCATGTACAGCAAGCACTTCACTGACTACTGACTGAGCTATTTCTCCAGCCACGACACCCCCCACTGTGTTTTTGTTGTTACTTGAGAATTTCATACATGTATGTTGGTCATTTTCACTTTATTACTCTCTCATCCCTCTTCCACTCATGCTGTACCCCTTCTTCTTCCTAACTAGCCCCTCTGATTCTCATGTCTTTTTCGTTTGGGTCCCACTGAGTTTAATCAAGTTTTTTGCAAGAGCATGGATGGGGTTATTTATTGGATCATGTCTTGCCTTAACTTTTGCCACCATCACTGACTCGGTCAACTAAATTCAACACTTACTTTCCTATTATATTCAAAGAGCATGGTACAGTGAAAAGGATATGAAGACCAGGATTCAAATTCCAACAGATTTGTTTCTTGGTTGCCCACAGAGCAGAGACAAGATGTGGACACCATTGTCAGATCTGTGCTGCCAGGTGGCTGCTGGGATGAAACACACCTCAGGACTGAACCTGAGTCTTAAGCCCTTTATGAACATACCACCTACAGTGCCAGAGTCCCCCTCTTGCCCAGGAAGACCCTCCATTTCCTGTGGGTAATGTTCCCACAGACTTTGGCTAGGATACAGCCATGTCACACACCATTTATGCCTAGGATGACAAGACAAACCTGGCAGGTGCAATTCAGGAAACCTTTTAAGGTGCTGTCTTAGTCTTCCAAGACAAGTCACATGGGACTTGAAGAGATTTCTGTACAAGGGTGAAAGGAGTGGGGACGGGAGTACCAGGACTAGGCAGGGCAGTGATGCACAATCTCACTCAGACTGAAAAGAGAGTGGAGTCGTCACTGAGGCAGGGTCACATCTGCAAAGGCTTTGTAGGGGGGTGCTCAGAGCTGTGTGAACAATTTTCAGGAGCAAAGAAGTACAGATTTACAGATAGGCATGCATATCCCTGAGAGGCCAGCCTGGGTTGGTATCACTTTTCAGACAATTTCTGATCACTCATTAAGCACTAGTCGGGGAATCATTTTTTAAAATGTTTTTATTGAATTTTGTGCATTTCATGTAATACATCTTAACCATATTTAGACTCTCTCCCCCATCTGCAACCCCACAGCTCTGTCACCAGATTTCATGCATTTCGTATATGTTAAGGCCTATCGAGTCAAGTTTGTGTACCCGGATGTCCTTCGATGTGAGTTCATCTGCTGAAGTCTGGTCAGCCTATCTAGTGTCACTTTCTTAAAGAGAATCAATTCTCCCTCACTCAGCAGTGATCAGCTGCCAATAGTTCTTCAGCTAAGATTGGGGCTTCTTACCCATTTCCCCAGTTTTATGCCAGGTTTTTGTCTGGGTTGAGTTTGCATGGGTCTTGGTGCAGGCTTTCACAATTGCTTTAAGTTCATATGAGCAAGTTCCCAGCCATCTGGAAATCTCCGTTTCCTTGTGGTCACCCATCACCCCTGGCTTTTAAAGTCTTTCTGTCCCCTCTTCTGCAGTAGTCCCCCAAGTGACACATCTACAATGGAACCTCTATACATACCCAAGACTCATAGAACACAGTGGGAAAGGGAAGAGGACCGGATCTCTCAACTGTCACCAGCAAAGCATCTTCACGCAACAGAGTCCAATTAACAAAGCAAGTCATAACTGTTCAAAATGTAGAGAAGGAGAGACTGCAGAGTGTGTGCCTCCAGATAGAACTCTTACATTAAACCTCTGGACAATCTTTTGTTTGATGCAGATGCCACAGTTTTGTTCTTCTCTTTCCCCCCTCCCAATTTTCTTTTCTTCTTTTGGCTGGCTCCAGTGATTAACCCCATGAACCTTAACATGTTTTGACAATTTCTGAATGAGATAATGGTGCAGAAGGCTTTTTTCCTCCCCATCAATTAATTCTAACCATTAAGAAAAGCTTAAGCTTCTCTGGCTGTGAGGCAGTCTCTGTGCTCCATGTTCTCTATGCCCAGCTTCCCACCCTTGCCCCTGAATTCATTTGAAGTCTACACTCCAGTCCGAGCTCTGCTCTGAACTCTGGATACTCTTTTGCCCAATCTGTAAAATAAGCACAAGTTGGATCTGATAAGCTCTAAAATCCCTGCTAGACTCAGAAGGCACTTTGAAATCTCAAATCAATGTATAGGATGCAAACATCCTTTCACAGTTGACTGGTGACTAATTAGGCATCTTTAAAAAGTGCATAACATCGCCTCCATCCTTTCTGACATTTTTTTTTTGTCTGTCCAAAGAGAAGTAGTCATTATTTTTAAGTTAATTAATGTGCTGGCAAGTTTACTCTTCTCTGAAGGTGTGAACAACCTTTTTGGAATTCAAAAGCATGATATCTGGAAATGTGAAAACACATACTTTTTCTTTAGCACAAGCATCTAATATAAGTTTCCAGATGATCACTCAGAGTTTGTGCTATGTGAAGGCTGTTAACCCTTCCACTGTCTGCCTACATATATAATCCCATGGTTTGAATGCTACTGAATCTACATGGGAGCGTAGGAAAGACTTCAAGTGAAAGGATGAAAAGGCCAAGGGCCACTAACTAGCTGCTCAAGTTACACAACCACTCTCGATTCCCTACTAGTTCATTTATATTTGTTTTGCACAAAGTCATCAGAGAAAATTTCAAACCCTATATATAAATCTCCTTTAAGGACAGATAGCCCCTGATCTGCAATGTTTCAGCTTACAACTTTTCAAATCTAGCATCCTGCAAAATGACAAACATTCATTAGAAACGGTATTTTGAATCTTGATCACAGCTGGGTTCATGCTGTGGTCCAAAGCTTTAATGGGACATTGGAACAGCATTGAGATATAGCAGCCCCAGTGAGCACAGGCTCAGGAAGGAACCGTTGATACTTGACAGCAAGTGGTGCTGACAGGCTGAGATGTGAGTAGGTCAGGTGAAGTAAAGCCATTTTCACTCATGATATTTCAATTTACCATGTGTTCTTCAAGATGAAATTCCATCAAGACGAGGACTTGATTTTT